ACAAATTCCAAAGAAGTGGATCTTTATCAACACCACTAGGCACCTTTTTTGCACAGGAACTAATAGCAGTGGCGTATGCCAATGGAGCCACTGCCAAGGCACATGGTGATGCAGCCATCATTAATCCTAGTGCTCTGTAGATTGATCCTCTGCAGACTGCATGGGAAAGCGTGAAGAGTTATAATACTAATTAGAAGTTCCGGCAGAATACATTCAGATTAGGAACAGAAACGAAGCCATGGCCAGATAACCAGGGGACTACTGGTAAATTAGGAAATTTTGGGGTTCAGGATGATTATCTAGTTTATTCTCCTTGTTAGAAGACATGATAAGAGTTGAATGTTATCCTTGTTACCTGAAGTACTCATGAATGGCCACTTGAAAAGTAATGGTCCAAGGAAAGCAACAGCGAACGACAACCCTACTACAACCTTGCTGTACTGCTCACCGAACTCATCGAGCCATCGTTGAAGTTTTGGTTTGTTTTGCTGGGCCTCTTCAGTCAGTTGCACAATTCTATTTAGTGTTGACTCTTTCCATGTCTTCGTTGCCTGATTCGTTCAATAATGGCATCCAGGAGATGATTCAATACAGGGTGTGCAGCACCGCAAGCAAGAGAAATGGAACATAAAAAGGAAGTTAACTATAGTCAGTAACTTCAGATGACCATGGCATATTGGCATGCATGTTGATATCCAATGAGATGACATCTTCTCGAACTATTTCATATTTAAGTTGTGATTACAATACCTTGACAATAATTCTACCATCCAAGTTTCTCGCACCACCTGGAATCCCATCACCCACATTTGCTTCAATCGGTTTTGCTTCCCCAGTCAAATGCTCAATAGTAATTGTTGCACTACCTTGGAAAATCTGACAATCCACGGGCACAGCCTACAGAAAATAAAATATTATTACAAATGTTGTAAGGGGTGCTGAACAATAATCTATTGACATGGTTGAGATGTGCAGAAAAATATCAGATATAATTTCTCGACGATTCAGCTTGATCAATCACCCCATGAAGTAATCACCCAGAGAAGAATAAGTAGAGTACCTTACTTGCCAATGTTATTGCCAAGCTATATCATTCCAGAAGCAAAATACCATTAAACAAGAACGATACCTAATCAAGACTCAAGAGACAGGCAACTAAAACGTATGTATGCCAAAAATAACCTGAATTTCCTATTTCTATTGCAAGCGGAGTGCAACGGTATAAATGGCAGCCCTACAAATTTCACAATTGAACAGATTTATTCCTGAAACACATGTTTTAGCTTCTCTTTCGACATGGCTACTGTTGACTTCCATTCTTGCATTTCAATTCAACATAGGCCACCTTGTCTGCAACCGAACTTTGAGAAAGATGAACAACAAAACAGACTAAGAGGTGCTACATCAGATGATAGTTTGCTCTGGGGTCACCACAGTCTAGTCTTGTGCATTAAGTGTTCCAAGATTCTACTGATACTGTGATTAGAGCAATGCTAATGCATCCTTGAAGCAAAAGGAAACCAGTTCCATGTTACAGACCTCACCAGCTCCAACTAGAACATAGGAGCCCACTTCTATATCATGCACCGGCACACTTGAGTAGGACAAATGCGTGAGGTCGGGTAGTTTCCCCTCTTCAACATCTAGCACGAGAGCCGAATCTGGATGGTTCTCTTTCAACTCTTTAACATCTACGAGCGATCGACTGGTGAAGAACTCTTCGGCTACAAAGCAAAACCCCGCTATTGAGCATTTGCAGCATTCAGAAGATGCTCTAGTAGCTGCAACAAGCAAAGACAGTTTCTATGCGTTTACCAATGTGAGCCAGATTGAACATGGCAAGAAGTAAGCCTCCTTCCAAGGCGTTCCCCATAAAAACAGAGGCAAATGCTGCCAGAGCCATCAGGACATGAATGTTCACCTTCCCGCCAGCAATGTCAATGAGAGCATCCAGGGATGCCGAGACCTGACGCACACATTCTCATCTTCAGTTCCAGTTGCCAGCGAAAAAAAATTAAGTTCAATATGCAAACGGTGAAATCGGAAATCGCGCGCACAAAATAACAAATCACGGAAGCGGTAACAGCGAGAGTGATGAGCCATACCCCAACCAGAGGGAAACCGACGATCATGAAGGCGTTTTGAAGAGGCTTAGCCACGGCCTTGGGAGCAAGGTAAGGACAAATAGCAGCGGCGAGAAACAAAGCCGCGGAACAGCAACAGAGCTGCAAGTGCTCCCTCAGCAGACTGGCGAGATCCGTCCATCTCACGGCATCCGCAAACCTAATTACAGCTTTCTGCGTGCCGGTTAGCTCCTCGAGCTCATCTCCGTGATGGTGATGATGGTGGCCGTGATTATGGTGGTGGTGGTGGTGGTCGTGATGATTATGGTGGGGATCTTCGTGGTGATTATGGTGGGTGTGGCGATTGGCTGGTTCAGAAACGCAACGGGCGACGAACCGGCGGTGGATATTGGGGGAAACGAGACGGTTGGGGAGGGGAAGAGAAGGCAGCGAGTGGAGCCGGCGTTGCCTCGAGGAGGAGGAAGAGGAGGGGCGGATTGAAGGGAAGTCGATCACGCCAAAAGCGTGGCGGACGGCGGTGGAGGCTTCCATGGACTGTGCAGGGAAACGAGGGAGTTCAGGTGAAATTCCGGGGAGAAATCATGACGGTGGAGGAAGAAACGGATGAAAGGTCTGCGAGTTACAGAGGAAGGAAACAAGGGTTGGTTGGTGGGACTGTGAGAGAGAGTCGGAGGACTTTCTGCGGCCTAGAGAAGCGAGTGGTGAGCATTGGCCTCTGGCTGCCCGCTTCCAGTTCTTTTATTTATTTATTTACTTCTTCGTTTTGTCGGCATTCTTCGCTTTCGTAGTTACTTGGGGTTTTCGGTTCTCGACCGGTTCTTCTCCGATGACTTCTGTAGTCTGTAGGCATGTATGGAACCGCCCCTTATTTCATCAATTCATGATTTCATTCTATTAATTTCTAATTTAATACTAGTGTGGCCCCGGTCAGTAGGACGGAGTAAGGTAAGGTGTTAAATTTGATAATGTAACGAAGTGTATAGCTTATTGTTGTATAGTTTGTTTTGAAAACACGTGATAAAAATAGTGAATTTTAGTAGGAAAGATACATGAATGATACAACGAATCAAAAAACAGTCTTATGAACCAAAATCAAGGACCTGTTACCTTATAAAACAATATTGTTTCTGGTAATATGATGAGGTGAAGTAAGTTTTATAGAAACCGAATTTAAGAAAATCGAATAAAAAATCGTCTATCCCGCCGGTTTTCGGAAAATGAGCATCTCACAATCGTTGCTAGCTATTACTCGGGCCGTTGGCCGATTAATTTGCTTTGTAAAACTTTCATCTTGTCGTCATTGCGCTTTCTGGTTTTTGCCGGGCCATGATAAAATCTAAAGAAATCAAGAATGAACAACACGATTTGGGATAGGAACCGTCGTTCCTGTATCCCTAGAAAATGGTGGTAAACACGGACTCACCTGCCAAACTGGTTTGGATTGAGATTTTTATCGGGTATCAGGGAACCATGTGATTATAAATTAGACTTGAACAAAACGGGCCAAAACTTGAAATTCAACATGTTTGACCGACCCATGCCAAACTCTAATTATTCTTTACTTTTAAATTTTCTATTTGAAAATAAAAAATAGTGAAAGAAAAGAGATAACTCCAATTCGCCATTTGCACATCACTGACTCGGAAATAAAATCATAGAAAAAAGAAACTAAAAATGTTTAGGATCGTTTTAATGTTAAAAATAAGCAAATAGATCTTTCTGTTTAGTTTTTTACTAACAAATACCAAACGATTCTCTATAAAATACACTATAATTTAATCATTATGATATCAAATAATTACATAATATATATTTGAAATGATAAAAATTGGACTAATTGGGTTGGTCGAGGTTGAACCATTGAATAACTTTAAAATAAATTATATTTTAGCCACTAAGATATAAAATAATAGCATAATATATATTATGCTAGAAAAAATAGCTTGTTTTAGAATGGCAAACCCATGATGTTTCATTTGTTTTACTTGATGACCAAATCCCGTGTAGGTCAAGCCCATTCAACTCTTTTATTTTATGGTTAGCGGTTAGCTCATTAGAATCCATGCATTAGTTTATTGTTAATTTTTTTTCTTTTTAACAATAAAAAAGAGTATTGTTTTTGCCTTTTCATATATATTTTACCACCACGGAGAAATAAAAGGGCTTAAAGAAAAAATTGACACTCCTGGACCTATTTAAATCCGCATGTGTACGGTAAGTTGGCCCGTTCCACAGAGGAAAAAGAAAAAAAATTGACACTCTCTATTTTATCCTTCCTACAAACGCTCCTAGAGCAGGGAATTTGAAATGGGGAAATGGTTTTTTCCTCTCTGATATTATATGTTTTTACTTTAAAAAGACATGTACTAGGATTCGAACCATGACCACTTTAAAGAAAAGTAAAGATCATAACCAATCAATAGTAAATTCTTCTTAGAAAGTCTACTTCCATAAACAAAACTATCACTATCACTTAATTTTAGGGTAAATTGCTAGTTTGGTCACTGCATTTACTAAAGATCACTATCACTTAATTTTAGGGTAAATTGCTAGTTTGGTCACTGCATTTACTAAAGAGTGTCATGTTTAGTCACTAGAAATATTTTATTTCAATGTTTGTCGCTCGAATTAGTCAAACAGACCACATTTGGCCACTCTATGTTAGTCTCTGTCAATTTTCGTTAACACCGTCAGTCATTGCTGACAGAAGTGCTAACTCGCCCTATTTTAACCCGCCACATCACCAAACTCGACCTGCCATGTCATATTGTTCAACCGAACCCAACCATGACCAGGCCCTGCCTTATTGAGCCGTCTCTGTCAATAAAAAAACTATCACGCGTCATTGTTGCCCAAAATAGCTTCCTCCCTATTCTCCGACCGCCGGAATCTTGAAAACTCTAAACCAACAAAACGGTCACCAATCTCCTTCCCCTCAGGCCCGCCGTAGTGTACGCCTCGTCCAATCCGGACATCAACAACCGCCGGAGGCTTCCCCCCTCATCCCCTCGTCCTAGCCGAAATGGTCCCCGCTCTTTGGTTGGTCCTCCGAGCAGGACTACGTTGGGATGCCAGCGAGCCAGCCGGCGATCGATCATGACGAGAATCATGCAAACCTGGAGGCAAAACAGGCCAGATCTCGATTCTCTACAAACTACTTCACCGTGGAGAAGCCCAATCATCTTCGTATGCTCACCTCAGGGATGTCATCGCACAACCACGCGATGTACCTCTCCGTCATTGCCTCATCCTCTTTTTAGAAACAAAGTGTTAGTATCTTAATTATCAATAGTATATGGTTTGATTCCATAGACAACTTTTAGAGGAAATAGAATATTGTAGTAAATTCTCGCGATCTGCCTTTCTTTTTTTGCTCAATAGATAGATGTAATTGTTCAATTTTCCTCAATATAACTTGACATGACATTATACGAATCTTGTGCAAAGAAAATATAATTACAATTTATGTAACTTCTCTTGAATGCAATATAATACGAAACAACTCGTGTAATATACATACAAAATTCGTGGGCTCGTAGAATGAAACAATAGATCGAAGGAAAACAGAAACAATAAAGAAGTACAGCATGCCATTCATGCCCTTGTGACTCTCTACAATAGTATTGTGTGTGTATCACGTTTCACGTATATGATTTGTCATTTCTATTCATTCCTTTTGCCTCCACACGACGCCGTCCTCAGCATCAGCCGAATGCCGAAGTCCCCCAAAAGAATCCAAACGAATTAAACCCAAAAGCCAGAGAGAATGAATCGTCAGCAATCTAACGAATACGACTCAGCAAAGATCGGTCGAGTTTGACCGGGTCGGGTCACTGGTGGGTGCCCGTGGTAAAGCTGTGACCCACTCCCGGGCTGGGTCCGGAGTTCTTCATTCCTCCCAGCGCCTCCGCGTTGCTGAACGAATGCCCCACGCCGGGGCTCGGCCCCGACACCATCATCGCTCCCAGCGCCAGCCCGTCGAAGAATCGTTCGATCGCGCACCCAGCTGCCTGCGCCGTCTCCGAATCCATGATGCTGAACGGCCGGCCGGCTTCTGCGAACACGACGGAGAGCGCCAACGCAAAGAAGATTGCGTACCGGAGCGATTTGAACGTAGATGCCATCTGGGTTGCCGTCAAAATTTCTCCTTTTTTGTCGTAGTGGATTGCAGAGAAGGAAGAGCTCTGTTTTTTTGTTTGTGAAGAAGGGAGGCAGAGGAGGGTTTGGTGGGTTAGTTGATGGACAGAAAAAGTTGGTGACTTTGTGGGGAGAGATGGAGGAATATATAAGGGCTGGTTTGGTGGGGGGAAAGTTTGAATAAAAGTACAAGAATTGAGGAAGTTGTTCTTCATTGGCATACAGAATTGTTCAAAGGACAAACGTAATACGGTGCGTGTTTTTTCAACACCATCGTGCGACGGGGAAAAAAGAAAGTAAGAAGAAGAAAACATTGGGCAGTGTGGCTTTGATGAAACTGTGGCGCGGGGGAAAGATGAAAGTTGGGAACCAACGAGGGAGCTTCTTTGGGCCATGGTGACGCAATTTGGGAGTAGAGGGGTAAGTAATGTGGGGGTTGAAAAAAATTCAACGGGGTAACAACGCATAAAATTCATTTGGAAGTCGTATATTTGGACTAAACACAATTTTCTGACTTGGAGATAGGAATGTAATTTGTGGGTTCCATCAAGATCAAGTGTTGGGGAAAAGTGTAACGAAGAAATATAGTTGTCTCAACTTTAAAATATAGGTAAAATTATAAGTGAATTTCGTAACAAATTTGAGATATAGAATAGTCGATAAGGTCTTAGACTCTTAGTCCCCCTCCTCCAAATATTGTGGTTCAAGTCAGGCCCCCTCATTTGAATTTCAAGCTCCTGCACTGGAAAAGTCAAATACAAAGTTACATTTTTACTTAATTCTCACTTATTCATGCAGATTCACTTATAATTACGCATGCAACCTAATTCTTATGTACTATGATCATTATCGACTTACTTAATATACTATATAATTGGAGTGTGCTTAAAAAAATGGATTCCGTACGTAAATATAAAGGGTTATAGGTATAATATGCCACACTATTATGTCGTTTTATCAAACATGGTGTTGTATTATTTTTTATACCAAACATATGCTCTTGTATTTTGTAAAAATGATCAAACGTATCGTTGTGTTAAATTTTCATCCAAAAACCGTTAACCATGCCTGAACTTTAACTTGAGCGACACAAATGTCTAAAATATCTCCAATAATTTCACTTTAGAATTTTTTGTTTGTTTTGTACAGCCAAATAATTCTTATAATTTCACTTTGATTGGACCCAAAGACGCATTTCGCAAAAGAAACGTGTTTATTTTAAATGGACGTGTACACAGTGCATAGCGAAATAGTACGGATGAGAGTGGGTGGGTTGACTTAAACCCATTCCATTCCATTATCATTTTCAATCATTACTAGTATAAGCTCGCTCGTTGTCGCTTCGTGTGTAAGTGAAAACGTTATATTTTAAAAATTAATAGTTTGAATTTTGATCCAAAAGTAAAGGTTTATCATCTACAACTCCATGTAGACGACGCAAAGATACTTTAATAAGGGAGGCCGGTCGTAGAGCAAATGATTTCTATGTTTAATCTTCTCTCATAAACTACTTATTAGTGTATTCTTTTTGCTTTGTTTTTTTTTAAGTTCATCTTGATTCTCCTTTTTATGGAGTTTCGGGACTGATCGTAGGTTTGAGAAGGTCCAACTCACTTTGGCCCGTTCGAATTAGGTTGAATAGCCATGAATTTGGGTTCAATTTTATTCTCAAACAAAAAGAAAAAAAAGAAATTAACAAACACTAAAGAGGATAAAACTTGCTCACGATCCAAAACTCGACAACATCATGTTCAACTCTCTTTGATCGGATTGAACCGGATTTGTAATAAATTCACAACCGACCTGACCCATCACTTTATCCGGATCGAATTAGGTTGGATACCCATGAATTTGGGTTCAATTTCATTCTCAACCAGAAAGAAAAAGAGAAATTATCAAACACTAAAGCGGATAAAACTCGCTCGCGATCCAAAACTCGGCAACACCATGTTCAACTCTCTTTGATCGGGTTGAACCGAGTTTGTAATAAATTCAAAACCGACCTGACCCGTCAATTACAAAAGAGAATAAAACTCACTCCCGCCCGGAAACTTGTAAACATCGGCTTCAAGTTGTTTTGATTATATTGAATAGGTTGGATATCCGTAGGTTTGGGTGCTCAACCAAAAGGGAAAAGATAAATAAAAAACACAAAAGCGGATAAAACTTGCTCCATACCAAAAACTTTACACACGGAGCGCAACTCGCCTTGACTGGTTCGAACCAAGTTTTTAACAATTCACACTCTGCTCAACATGTCAATTCTAAACGCAGATAAAAACGCACTCTCGATTAAAAAACTCATTAGTACAGGGTCTGAGATCAATTGTCATTCTCAACCAAAATGAAAATGAGAATAAAAAGGGTAATAGGTATAATATGCCCCTCTACTATGACGTTTTATCAAACATGCCTCTCTATTATTTTTTACATCAAACATGCCCTAGTACTTTGATAAAGTTATCAAACTTGCCCTTTTGCTAAAATTTTCATTGAAAAAAATTATCAGTCATGGTTGAACCAAGATTTAGATGACCCGACATCGGCAAATGGGAGCGAAAATATCAGTTTTGTCCCCCGTTTTATTTCTCTGGGTCTCTTCAAAGTCAAATTATTTGAATTAATTGGCTACACAAAAGAACAAAAAAAATTATAAAGTGAAATTATTAGGGATATTTTAGACATTTGTGTCGCCCAAACCAAAGTTCGGCGTTGGTTAACGGTTTTTTGATGAAATTTTTAACAAAAGTGCATGTTTGTTAATTTTTACAAAGTACAAGGGCATGTTTGATGTAAAAAATAGTAAATGGGCATGTTTGATAAAACATCATAGTAGAGGGACATATTATACCTATAACCCAAATAAAAACTATCAAAGTGGACAAAACTCACTCTCAATCCAAAACTCATCAATACCGTGATTAGGTCGCTTTAACCGGGTCGAATTGAGTTCTTAATAAATTCACACTCGACTCAACCTGCCAAATACAAATCCAGATAAAACTCGCTCTCGATACAAAACTCGCCAATACCATGGGTTTGGATTCAATTCGCTTTGACTTGGTTGAATTAGGTTGGATACCCATGAGTTTGAGTTCAATTTTAATGCTTAACCAAAAGGGAAAAGAGAAATAAGAAAACATCATTGAATATGAAACTCGATCTCAATATAAAACTCGGCAACACATAACAGATTTAGTATGAATTTTCAGTAACGATCTTGGAAAACGGTGAATGTGTGAGAGGCACTAAAACATTGACAATGATCACTAAAATATCCTCTAGCTGGTACTGAACCACCCAAGTTTAAAGGGCTTTTGTCATGGTATTTTGTTGGCAGGCATTGGATCAAGCAAAACCAGAATCAGAAGAAAAACATAATCTCTGAACAATTGATTGTTGAAAAGGCTGGTAGGTTTTTGTTAACTAATATGAACTACGAATTGATAGTATCAAACTAATACACTTTTTTTTTCTCTTTTATGTCTGGATGTGTTTGGGTTTTAATTGCGTCATTCTCAACAAAAAAAAGAGAGAGAAAAAACACTAAATAGGATGAAACTCATCCCCGATACAAAACTCGTGGTTGTGAAATGGGGAACAACTTAGGATTTCACCGATAGTATTTCGAGATGGGCTGCGAAATGGTGGCAAATGCGATGATTTATGCAAAAAGTCATAGTCGAAAACCTAGTGGATAGTTGCTGCAATAGGGAGCTGAAAACCTAGTAGACAATAATTGTTATGGGAAACACAATGGACAATAGATGTAAACCTAGCGAACAATAGCTAAACACAAAGGTTGTAGAATGGAGAGTGGGATAAAAGAATGACTTGGAACTTCCCCACTTGCACTTGGAGGAGTGTGAGACCCATTAATGAATAATAACTCCAACATGATCATTGAAAAGGTGGTAGGTTGTGTTTGGGTTGGGTATAAGCAAGGTTGTCAACCCGGTTTAGCCAGTTGGTTCGATAAAGTAAATGGGCTGAGGATTAATAGTCTAACTGTTTTAGTCCGTTTTAGTATGAAAAAAGTCATTATATTTTTCATACATTTATAAATTATATCAAATATAATCTAATATATGAGTAATAACACGTATCACTACACCAAAATAACATATGTAACATCAATATTCAAA